AATTAAAGCCAAAACGAATTTAACACAAACCCAAACAATCAAAATATAACCCATTTCACATAATCCCACTGATTTTAAGAAAATAACCATCAACACTACCTTTTCGAGGTTGGCGATCCACTAAAGCTTCAAGGTTACAAGCAGCTATTCAGAAGACATACCTAAAGGGAGGGGTTCGTGATTCCAAACAGAGAGCAAGAGACCGAATAGAGGGAGAACTAGCGAGAGAAAGAGCTGCGCTATGAGAAAGAGAGCACAGAGAGAGACAGAGAGTTGCGCTAGAGAGAGAGAGAGCCAAGAGAGACACAGAGAGCTGCGTTAGACAGAAACCAAAGAGAAAGAGAGCTGTGCCAGAGAGAGAGAGAGAGCTGAGTGACTTAAGAGAGAACAAACTTTCTGAACTTGTAAAAATTCAGCAATAAGTGGACAATAATTTTATATTTATAGGTGATAGTTGTACAAAAATTGGGGAGGGATGGTATTTTTAGTTAAGATTATAAAATTGGTGGCATATAGGGCTATTTCCCTTTAATAAACAGGTCGTGGCCTGTCCATTTATGAAAATAATCAATCCTATCCCGAGCTCACAACTCTAGCCCATATGGGCTGAGCCATGCTCGTCTCGGGCCACTAAACGGGCCGAGATGAGCCCACACCAAATTTGACTTTGTATTGCATTTTTTTTGTGATTTTTTTTTACAACTTCAATTAATTCTTTTTTACAATTATGTATATACAAACAAGATTTATTATTTGTTAAAAACAGAGGCCAATAACTTAATTTAAAGTGCATTTAAATAAAAAAAAATACTAGATTATTGTTTGGATTTTAAAAATTGAAACTTGAAAAACAAAATCATTATTTTAAATATAAGGAAAACGTTAAATTTTAATATATATTATTAGAGAAAAGAAATAGAATTGAATTTAAGATATAAATGCAATAATATTAGGTATTATTTTTCTCTAAAATAAATATAATTTAATAAATGGGCTTTAAACGGCCTGGCCCGACTCGTTGGGCCTAATTAGCTTGTCCTGGCCCGTCCAAAGATATGGGCCGTGCCGTGTCGGGTGTTACTTAAACGGGCCGAAATATCCATCTGCCCTAAAGCAAATTTATCCTTATCCCCACGCACCTTTTATAGAAAAATGTAGTTACAATTTCAGCCCTTCTTCAAATTAGCTAGGATTACATAGTATACATACTAGCAATTAGAGAACCTTCTTTCAGTAATAAACTTCCAACACCGCACGGGTAATCAACAAAGTCATCTACCTATACAATGTAGGTTGAAAACACTACACAAACACTATACCTACTACATCATACAACCAGTAATCAACAAAGTCATCTACCCATACTCATAATATGCAAGCGCGCTGCACGTACGATACCTAGAACATAGTCCGAAAAAAAACAAAACAAAAAACAAAACAGAGTGAAGTTATGTAGGAGGTAGATTTGAACTCCAAAGCAACTCCATGACGAACCTAAATTAACAAGGACATATATTGGTGGTTTGCTCATAAAAATAATAATCTTCATTCATATCAAGATTTTGTTATTCAACTTCCCAAAAATCCTTTGATTGTTTCAGCATAATTTAGTTGTCAATGTGTTTTGTGCCCGCTTGTGCTTCCAGCACTTTTAGTAAGTGCTTTCGTAATGACATGAGTAAGAATTCCAATGGGACAGAAAAACAGGCAAAGAGAAACTGAATGCCGAGTCTCAATTTCGTTTTGAAGACCATCACAGAAAACCTGCCTGCATGAATGAACACAACTAATGAGTGTTACAACTCTGTGTGTGTGTGTGCGTTTGTGAGAGAGAGAGTTACCTTGCAGCAAAGAGATCGACAGCCAACAAATGAATCCAGGCAGAAGCTAATGTCATCTCATTGGTGAACATCTTTGCTATACCAGTCAGCTGCACATAGTACATAGGTAGAAAACAAAATTTTGTATAAATTTTCTTAACTTATGAGAAAAGATTGCTGAACCTATAATTCTAATACACACCTCAGGTAGCCAGTATTTACTTGCAAAAATCAACCGTAGCGTCTGAGGAGTCCAAGAGAGGTATAGTAGATAAGCATAGAGAACTCCGAGCAGAATATATGGTACGCTACTTTCCGTAGACATTTTTGTCTGCATTTTACGTGATCTAAACAAATTAGGTACATCAATTTAGGTTGAGCAAATCTTGCAGAATTATAACTACTTCCCCTCAATTTCTGTGCCTTTAGTGGGTGAGCTAAAAAAGGATTTTTTGTGTATAATCCTGCATAAATCGGAATGCGGATGGATAGCAACATTGTGTGAGAGTCGTAGGACTGGATAAATACAGGAGAACATACCAGTTCAGCTTTAGGTGCCACAACCATGAGGGCATAAAATGGGAGAACTGCAGTTGTTCCCAAAGTAAAAACTCTGCTAGCAATTTGAGAACTTGCCAACCCTGACCAAAGAAAAGACAGTAACCTTAGTTTTATCGATCATATTTGAACCTAACTGATGCAGGACGCGTAGGACCTAAATTTATTAGTTTCCTAATGTATTTGTTAGTTTCCTAGATTCTCTAGTTTTCCAAGTTCTAGAGGATTTCTATTTCAGATTTCCAGTTTTAAGTTTCCTATTTTATTTGGGTTAGGATTTCTGTTTAAGCAAGGGATTTTTATCCTATTATGTCTAGGTTTTAGTTGGCTATAAATACCCCCATGTAGTTCTTTAAAATTGAGATTTGAATGTTGAGTAAACCTTTTCCTAGAACTCTCTGATTTTGTCCCTTCGATCTATATTTCTTCTCCTCGATCTCCGATATTCTTCTTTGTTCTACTGTTTCTTTCCTTTATCTCGTCTTTTCGATCTCTATTTCTCCTCCCCGGTCTCTTATATTCTTCTCTGTTCTATTGTTTAAGTGCTTAATCTAACACCTACAGACTGTACTACATCACTAACACTACCCCAAGCCCTCCCATAATCTTTATCACTCACTAGCATGAGAGGTCAACAGATGATAAATGGATCATGAAACAAATAATGACTAAAAACCATTCCTGTTAGAGAAACAAAAAAGATGTATTATAACTCTCAAAACTACCAAACATAAGAATCATCATATGATATGGCTATTGTGATCTTCTTATAGAGAAGCAGAAATTAGAGAAGGATCTTCAAAGATTTATAGAAGCTTGGTAGCCAGTAGCATACGGTGAAATACTGGGTATGTTATTCTGCAAAACAATTACTAAATCGGATGCTATTGTTATGGATCTGGCTAAGATTTTCTCTTTCATTAGAATGAGAAGGTAATTTGTTAACCTAAAACAATCTTAACTGTCTGCGACTCTCAAAGGCTAACACCACAACATTCAGGTAGGAATTGGATATAAGCAAAACCCCCTAATATAAAAATAAATAAAAATTATGTTGAATCCTTAAATTCATTCTCTCAACGAAATTCATGAAGCCGTAAACCATGCTATCATATCATACCATGCCTCATGCGATGCAGGAATTCTAGTTTCTTTTGAGCCTTTATTTCATGTGAAGGACTATCTATCTAAATGTTACAAGTACAAACTGTGAAATAGACAAGTGTTTTGCAATGTAGTTGTAATTGTGTCAATTTGAAAACCATATATATGTACTCACAGATGTAGTTTTTCTTACAAAACGGATCAAAGTTATCAAAGCTAGTTACAGCTTTCTCTGGTCCAGAGATTCTCTGTGCAGGACATTCGGTCTTTAATTAAAGACTGAACTATCAATATGCGCATTGATATTTTATCGATTTTGGCAAAAAATGCATGGGTAACATGTCAACACGTTTTGTTGGCGACAATGATATCGATGCATTATCATGGCATATCGACAATCCGAATTTTATTAAAGACTGGGCATCCTGTATAAAGGCAGACTCTCTGCTCATATACATATTTGTAAATTGATTCCCACATATGTGGGTATTTCATAAAAAACAACTTACAAACCTACTTAAAGATAGTAAACCTTAAATCAGCCACATAACATTGAAAATGATATCAATAATAAATGACTGAAAAGAATTCAAAGTGGCAGAAAGGATTACATGAGACATATATTCCAGAGCCTTTTCGGTGTAGAATGGATCTCTCGAGTTTTGGTCTTACAGTAACTGTTGAACCTCCTACAAAACTCCAGTCCCTGTGTAATTGAACTCCCACTGTCTCAAGCTGTTGACCAAAGACTTGAGTATGAGAACTTCCAAGTGAAAATGTGATGCTTCTATCGTTACTCGAATGTCTTATAGTCTTTTTAGCATAGTCAACCTATAAGAAACGAATATTTAGTTGTATGAGAAGCTACCCAACTCAGAAAATTATAAAGAGTTCCTACACATGACATGAGATTATTTATGAAAGAAGTTGCATGTTATCTTGTACTTCAAAGTTCAAACTGGTGAAATGCCTCTTTCCAGATTTTATACAATATTGCTGCCACGTTCGAATTGCCACATTTATCATGAAGATGAATTTGAGAACAAATTATACATAAAATTCAATGAACTTTTCAACTGAAAGGCAAAGGAAGAAGAACAATTACATAATTTTCGTGGCCAAGAAAGACGATGCCCGCTTACCCAATTGTAAATCCATGGAACTACACTAGAATACACCCATTTGGCACCCACAGAAACTCTTTTACCAGAATAGAACTATGAAATGTCAACTCCTATTTTCTATGTTGGACAAAATACAACTAATTTCAAACCACTCCATATACCCCTCCCCTTCCTTCTAAAGATCAGCAAATAAAAGAATTAAGAACGCCTAGATGAATCAACTAAGCTACAAATTTAAAAGAATACAAGGCTGAGGACCAAAAAAATTGTAGGGAAGAGAACATGAAGATTGAAAAGCTTAGGTAAAGCCATACCTTGAGGGAGAACTGAGAATGGCAAAAGCAAGAAGAGAAGGCCATTTTTGTTGTGAGACCAGAAAACCCAGTAAGAAAATAATACTGGCTGCTTCATAATTTATTTTTTTACGACACTGAAATTAAGAATAGGAAAAGAAAATGTAAAGAACTTCAATAATACAACAATTTCACGAAGCTGGGAGAGAGAGAGAGAGAGAGAGAGAGAGAGAGAGAGAGAAGCAATTGAAGGAAGGTAAGGTAAAAGAGCACTACCTCCAGGTATTTGTCAAAGTTAGAAAGAACAACGTTCACCTCCTCACAACCCACTTGCACTGCATTTGTTTGTTCCTTTCTGAGCATTCGTTCTGTTATGAGTGGACCCAACAAACAAAGAATATGACAATTTATATCTTATTATAATTGGATGGCTAAAATTCACTCCTCTAGCAGAAAGGGACAAGTCATTCATTCTAGTAGGCTCCAACACAAATTTTAGTAGAGGTTCTGATAAAATGAAATTTCAGTTCTAAGGCTGGCTAGCATAGGCATTCTCCTATGAAATCCAGCATGTAAATGACCTTTGCTGACAAAAAATTAATTAAACCAACTTATAGAAAAAGTAATAATTTTATTCTTCCATTATGGGAATGAAGAAAGATGAAATCTAACAAGAAGAAAAGAAAATGTTCCTTTGTGAAATCTCAAATTACAAAGGGTCAACATCCAAAAGCTTCAGCCTCCCAGCTCATGTTAATCAAGATAAAGACTTTGAAACCTAAAGTTTATTTGAATTGTGTGCCATAAATCATACACTAATCCAATGTTATTCACCAAAAAAATCTGTACATCACAATAGACGCATCCAATCCAATGCTCCTTTCCCTTTTGTTCCCCTACCCTTTTCTGAAGCAAACATGAAGAACATGAATGCAGGTGCCCACAGATGTGCAGAGTAGTTAGCTGCCCGTAAATTTCTCACTGTGCTCATTGAGCCATGAAATGATGTCACCAAAAACTCGAACTATCATTTCATCTGGCTCACCCTCCAAAAGGGAATGATATGCATCCATGTAAAGGATGAGCTTCTTGTTGGAACTGCTTGCTTTCTCATGCAGGGCCTTACTTACAGATGGATCAGTTACAATATCAGCCTCTCCATGTAGGATTAATAGTGGAAGAGAGACCTGTAACGATAATCATTATAAGTAACCTAATAAAGTTACAATTCAAGATACTGCTGGTGCTAAACTATACCGAAATCAACTGACTTTTCAGGGTGAGCACGATTTCTGAATATAAACTCACAGCAAAATCTTCATCAGATTACAAGAAATAAATCACAACCTGAACCTCACAAAACAAAAGCTGAACCATATAGATTTCCAAAAACTGAATATGAAAAAAAGGTTTATAAGAAAACACATCATCGGTGGGGTTACGATGTATGTCTTCTGCCACTTCATATCACTAGTCCTGAAGCACAAGAGATGTAGGTCATATCTGATGCATATAAAAATCATTTTTATCCTTTGGATTATAACTCAATCCAACTGTACTGGGTTGAAGTTACAAATTCAGATAAACCCAAACATCAGTGAATTAAGCTGATAAGAATTACCATCTAGTTCTATAAATGCCTCAACTGTTCACAACCTCAAAGAATAAAGAAAAAGTATCAGAAAATACGCAGCAAGACAACACATATTAAGGGAAAAAGGTGCATGCTGAATAGACTGGACAGAATTTAACGCAATCAAAGAAATCTTAGAGGTTAGTCCAGTTGATTCAGAATATGACTGTAATAAAAGAGAAGTCATGGAATTGGCATACCTCTTCCAGTCGACGTTCTATCTCTTCAGTTGTTCGGAGCATTTCCACAGCAGTCCGCAGGCGTGGTTTATCCTTGTAAGCAATAACATTATACGCTGTCTGCATTCAGGAAAAGGGCAATTTTAAAGCCACAATTTAAAAAAGAAGACTAAAAGAAATGGCACATGAAATCACAACATAAAGAACACCACACATCTTATAAACATAAGATCTTCCACAATGGCTTGAAAGTTTTCATTTTGTCATGATGTCTAGGAAAGAAAACAAGGTTTATGACTTTTCCCAGAACATCATTGCTTTTAAATACTTTAAATTATTTAGAAAAAAAAAAGAGAGAAACCATTTCTCTTTTCTTCAAGTCTTTAAATGCTGCCTCAGCCAGGTTCTTTTGTGGAACTAATTTTTTTGTTGGAAGGAACTTAGCCACACCAATCAGGATTTGTGTTAATGCCCAAGGTGGAACCATGTCATCTGCAATCTACAAAAACAAAAAAGAGAAAATACACTGTTCTGTTAAAAGAAGGTAAAAACCAAAGAAAAACATTGTTGCTAACACAGTCAAGTTGCAGAATTTACTTTGCACATTGGTGCAACAAGTATTGCGCCATTCCATGCACTAGGTTGTTTTAGATGAACCTTCAATGCTACAGCTCCACCCAGGGACTGTCCAAAGAGAAAGCTTGGAAGAGTATGGAACTCAGGGTTCTCTGCAGTACAAATAGACTTATGTAAATATCAAGAATTAAACTGAGATTGGCGTTTTGGTTATGTTATTGTTCAAAGAATAGACACACATTAAACACAACAGATTGTGTACAGATCTTTTAGTCTCTCTCACTTGATTATAAGTTTGGATGAAAAAGATGAAGAAAAAACTTCATCCCCAGCCAAGAGGTGTAATTATTGACCCCAGATGCAAACTAGAAAGAATAAGTAGCTCAAAAGAGGTACAGTCCGTCAAGAGAAAAGCTTCCCTTGAAAATTTGTTTCCACATCACTTTGCTTCTTTTATTTTTGGGGTTATATATATATATATATATATATCAGAGGGCAAAATGATTTCGCATATCAATTAGAAAAGAAATGAAATGTTAACACCCCAGCAAAGTTGCTTCATCTGGTCACTAAAAGGATTCATAAGCGACTTGGAAAATTTGGTTGGCTCACTTTGGGGAACTTTCCATCAAGAACAAGATTATGGTGGAATCTTTGTCTTAACTCTTTGGAAAGAATATAGTCACATAAACACAATATTCCACTCATCCTCTGATAGAGAAAACTGCAGATGGTATCTATCATCAACAGTTCATCACCTAAAGTAGTTGACAGTCTTTTGGTTGCTACAACCCAGTTCAACATCACTGCAAAAGGGATCACTTTCCATTACGGATACTGTCCTTCTAAAGTTCTATTTCCTGTCACTGTTATGTCAAGATATCTATTCTCCTACAAGTAACCAAGTGACAATTGCATTACTCTTTGGATCCTCATCAATCCAACTTCCTTTCCAATTCACAATAAAGCACAGATCGACCAATATATGATAGGAACGTCAAAGTACGCTTTGGATCTTCTTATGGGACAGGATGCTACAATTATAGGCTTTTATATTCCAATTGAGCGAAACCATTTATGGAAGAGATGATCTTCTTTTATGGGACAGTGATGGTAGGATGATAACCTTTATACTACTTTGAGCCAAAAGCTAGGTCTAATTAACAATCCACCCCAGGAGAAACTTGCAAGTAGGAGGAAGGCAAGATGAAACCTAAACACTAGGTCCCTCATAAAATTCCAAACGCCGATAAGTGCTAATAAACTTCCAAAATCAAATGAATTACACATTACCTCAAGCATCAGGAAACTGAGGTTTCTTATGACCAGTGAGAGGCAATGAAGAGGACCTCCTTGCCTCAATCTTCTATAACATTCCTAAAGGAAAGCAAGCAGAGACTAAAAAATATAGATTAAAAAGAGGCCATAGGCTCTACTTCTAGAAAGTTTACAAATTGTTTCCAACTCTGCCTTGTTTAACTATTATATGATTATCACATTACTGTCCCAAATATTGGTGGTAAGGTTGAAAAGATGGCCACAGGGTAAAAATAATACTAAGACTTCATCCAGCACTTAGATTTTTCCGGTTCATGCTTCTCATCTGCCAACCCAGTGCACGTTTGAAGCACCAAGATGGTTGGCCAGCTGACTCAGTGACTGCACAAAGATACAATCCGCCTCCTGTCTAAATATCCTAATCCTCACCTTCAGCTCAACAATTCTCACATTCGAAAGTTCTAACAGGAAGGTTAATAACTATGCTAACATACCTTTGACTTTGGAGTAATGCTCAATGACATCATCTACAAGAATGTCAAAGCAGGGAATATGGCAATGAAGGCCTTCTGAAAGACCAAATCCAGGGTAATCCATTGCGAAAACTCCATATCCGTATGACGCCAACTTCCTCGCAATTCCTGCAGAAATTATGAAATTATTAGGTTCCACTACAGTGCATGACTAACAACGCAATTTGGTCAACACTATTCTCTTTTGACAGGTTACATGCCTTCAAAGAAAAAAGTGCAAGTATCTCCGTAACCATGACAGTAACACACTATTGCTTTGGGGCGAGATGCCTTTGGAAGCCAACTCTTGCAGAAGATCTCCAATCCCCTGGAGTTTACCTCATATGACTGCACAATAGAATTTGCCAAGACCATGTTCATATTAAAAGTAGTGAGCAGAAACTTTGGAAATCAAACGAGCGAGCCCCAATACCTTAACCTAGCAAGATACATGACAGCTAATTTTGCAGAAACAATACCGCTTACAAGTATAGTTAAAAATGGCCACAACTGAATTCAGAGGAGAAGTTTTAGTAACTCTCAAGCTGCCCATGGGTATAGATCAATGTATGACTGATCAACAAACCTTCTCATAATGGACCTGGTGAGAGTATAAATACTGCATAGTCTAATTTTATCAGTGTTAGAGTTCATCCACGTGTCAGTCCCCAATTACCACACGTGCTCCCACGTCACCTAATATAAATTTTTTCACATGTTTGACTATGCCGCACATGAGGGGGCATGTCTAGAGTATACATCCCACATTAGGAATGTCAAGCTTTGAACCATAGTATACAAGATCTTGGTATCTACCCATTATGAACTGGTTTTGGGCTGGATGCTAGAATACTATCTTGAACCAATATAAGATAGATGAGAAACAAGATTTTGCAGATAAGAATGGCGTACAGGTTTGCACAAAATATTAAAAATTAAAATACAAAGAAATTACACACACACACACAGACGAACACACAGCATAGGTATATAATCCTTTGACTGGCATATCACTCCACTGCATTTCTCGCACCCAAAAGCCGTTTGTACCAATAAAAATCAAAATGTAAGTTGATTGCTGTAATAAAGAGTTTTTACCTCCTCTATTTTCAATCCATCAGAGGGTGTCTGCAGCACAACCAAACATAAAACAATAAATATTACTGAGAAAATATTCCAAGAGTGTAATTAAAAGACAGCAAGAATGAATATTATATAACATCTTGAACTACTATCTCAGAAAGATGACCAAAAACCAAAGAAAAATAGTATGCATAGCCAATTTGAGTATATGTTTGTGGCTGTGTGGACTG